AGTACCTGGTCCAACGACCAGGATGTCTCAGGCGGTGCATGAGCAGGCTGGAGGTGAAACAATGCCCGAGAAAGCTTGCGGAATGGAGCAGAAGTCACATCCACCCCAAATGCAAGCTGCAGCAGCTCCGCCAGTGCCGCACGATACAAGGCGACAGTAAATGGCATAAGATGATGGTCCTGAAACAAACAACCAAGAGAAGAGAGAGAAAGGACAAAACCCGATCAGAAATTGAAGACAACCTAGGAAAAGTCAAAGTGCCGAAAGGACTGCCAGAAAATTTCATACTGCCATCGAGACGAGCTCGCAGGTTGGACACCACCAGCGAAACCACCTGATCACCATACAAGTGGTAATAAAACCACGTCAAAAAGACCAGACGCAAAGAGCAGAGGAGAAGATCGAACCCGCCACGTACCAGACTGGACCGATCCACTGAAAGAGGCGTAGCCGCGGGAAGATCCTCGGGTTCAGACATCTAGCAAGAAGTGCCTGAAACCAGGGCTAGGCCGGCCACCAAGGAGCCAACAGGAATACTCTCTCCTGGTAAGCATCTCTAAGTGAGCTAGGACCTGGAGCAACAACTGAACCGGTGAAAGAGGTACAGGTAACCCCACCTCGACCAGTCCAGCTGGAAGGCATCGACCCTGATGGCCTCGCAGTCTGGGAAGGGCGCCACATACACTGGAAGACGCATCGAGCACGCCGATGTGAAGAGGTCCACCTCTAGGGCCCCATACCTCCGGCAGAGCCAACTGAACAAGTCGGCGTCGACCGTCCATTCCGTGGATAGGGGAATGAACCTAGACAGGCCATCCGCCAAGGCGATTAACACCCCCTGAACGTGAACCGCCAGGAGAGCCAAACCCCGAGAACTCAGCAGACGAGTCACCTGAAGCAACCAGCTCCAAAGAGCCAAGGACCGCAACGAACCCTCGTGGTTCAGACAATGAACCACCGGGGAGCCGTCTGAATGGATCCAGATCGTTGCTCCGCGTGCAACACGAACTCTCTGAAGCAAATGCCACACTGCTGTGAACTCCCGCGCCATGCTTTGAGCCCGACAGAAGGACAGACCCCACTGATCCTGGCCTGCCTGGTGAGCACTGGTTACAAAACCCCAGCCGAGAAACGAGACATCCGTGAACACATGTAGTGAGGGCTCGGGGAGGCATCAGGGCACAGAACCCAAAAAAAACCTCAGAGGAAGCCGGCTACGCAGCAGCTGACGCAAGGCTCCTGGGATCCAAACCTAGCGATTGCGAGAGCGGCGGGAGGGACACCTCCGAAGAAACCAGAACAGCCGCCAAAGCCAGATACGACTTGATGGGTAGACCAGCATGACGAAGTTCAGGCTCCCACACAGCCGCTCGAACAACTGACATGTGACCTGGGTGCCCTCCAAAAACAATCGTAGGTGGGACCTCGGCCGCAACAACACTGCAGGAGGGGGGAGAGACAAGGAAGTGGTCAGAGTCCCACACAAGACCCAGCCAAGTCTGAACCTGAGATCGAACCAAATGGGACTTCCTCCAGTTCACCAAGAACCTGAACCTGGCGAGCTGGGAATGGGAACCAAATCCCTGGCCAGCAGACACGCGGATAGGCTGGGAGTCCACACCAGCCAATCTTCGAGGTAAGCCAGAACCCGAACCCCTAACAGATACAAACTGCAGATGCAAAAAGATCACCATGACCCGGTTAAGACGTGTGAACATGCGAGGTGCCAGATACAAACCGAAAGTAAGGCAACGAAAGCGGTAAGCCTGTCTCCCCACGACAAAAATGAGCCAGTCCCTGAACCCCAGCTGAATTTGGACATGCCAATACGCATCCTGGAGATCCAGAGACATCATCCAGGCGCCCGGCGCAAAACGCAGCTGGACCTGAGACAGAGTAGTCATCTGAAAGGAGGGGGTAGAAGACCCAGGGGCTCAGACAGAATAAGTCCAGTATGAATCGCAGATCCACACAGTCCCGTCTCAGAACTGAAAACAGGTTGGAAACCTACTCCAGGATGACCTGACAAGAGGGACCCGCCCTGCCAACTCCAATCCCCCCGGAGTAGGAGGAACAACCCAATGCCACCGCAGAACAGAGGAAACGGCCCAAAATGCTCACGAATCGTGGGACCAGGCGAGAGCAAACAGCGCGAGTCTCTGCTCTATTGTCCAGTGAATGGGTCGAACCGTGAAAGAGTCGATGACCCCTACGAGAGCTTGACCGATGCTCAGAGCGATCACTGCACTGACCAGACGCCGACGACTCCTCAGGAAGGGCCAGTCCTGAATCTGGCACTACTGGCTTACAACGACCGAAGAAACCCCAAGACCTTGTGCGACCCTTCCGGGCAGGACCACCATGTGAAAGAGAACCCTCCGAGAACCAACAAGTCCGACATAGACCGACAACTAGACGAAGCCACCTGCAGAAATTGCACCACCACCATAGGCTCTGCAAAGAGCAACAGACAAAAAGGGGGTGAAAATCTAAGAGCCAGGGCCCGAGACAATTTCAAAGAATGGATGAGCAACGCCTGTCAGCATGCAAGGCGAGAAGCGAAGAACAGAGACACTGCCTCCACTAGAATCAGCGCATACAACTTCAACAAGGCAGCTGACGCCCGAGCTGCCGAAGCAAGCACACCGGACACTGGCCCGGAACCCAGCTCCTCCACCTCGACCTCGAGCCAGTCTGAAGACAGCTCCAGCAGGGAAAAGAAGTGCAAGACCAAAGCCAAATACGGGCACGCAAATCCTCTTCCACCAGGAATGCCGAAAGAGAGGGAAACCTCCACGTGAAGTTGCACCTGACCGACATCATGAGGAAGGACGAGGGCGAACAAGCATGCACTGATGTGCTCCAACTTGCCCCCCAAGGTAAACCTGAACGACCGTAGTCAACTCCTGCCATTCAAGTGCGCAGTCCGACAGAATGAATGCCAAGCCCCCAACGAAAAGAACAGGCAGTCTGCCAGCCAGGAAGACTCCAGCACTTCGTAACGCACCCAATAAGGATAAGAGGAGCCAAACTCAAAAGAAGAAGGCCTCATTATCAAAATGTAATCTGGGTCTCGCAGGAGGTAAGCCGCAAGGGCCTCCCACATCTTCCTCGGTGGGATGTGGGAAGCCAAAAACCTCTGGAAGGAGGGAACCAAAGAACCCAAGGAAACTCGGAACCGATCCTGAGGATGAGTCGAACTCGTAACAAAATCGTACAGGGAGGGGATACAGGAGAACAGAGAGATGACCCACTGTGGCTCGGTGCAGTGTGGAATGAGTCCTGTAAGGCGGATGAGGATAGGAAAACCTCTCACCGCGTAACAAGCCCTGTGCAGAGGGTACCAACACCCAAGCAGGGTCAATTGGGGCCCAAGGCTCTCCCCCAGGTCAACTCTCCCTCCCCACCCCCTGCCCCGGAATTCTCCACGTCAGGACTCTGGGACGAGCCGTCCTCCAAACCCTCTGCTTCTCGAGAAGAGCAGAGTCCACCGGAAAAGCAGGGATGAAGAGGGCCCGCTGGCGCAACCCAAAAGCTCCGGCAGGAGGAACAGGCTCGAATGCCGCCGCCGCCGATCCAGAAGGGGCAATCCCCGAAGCTGCCCGAGTCTCGCTACCAGGTATAATCAAAGCGGGGCAGCTGCAGGGCATCCGGAAAGGCAACCAACCTAAACCTTACATGCACCGCTAAAACTGCCTGCCCCTGAATATCAGTCTCAGTGGACTGGGTGAATTGGAGTACAAGCAAAGAACACCACTCGCAGGACTCCAGGTCAAAGGCGTCACTGACCCAACAGGCAGCATGGCGGAGGCAGATGGTGAGTGTCACCCTGAGACTATGGGACAGAGCAACCTTCAAACTCTCACAAGGCGAGGTGGGACTCGGAGGTCTCCTCCATCAGACCACTAAGCCCGAATGGAGGTTTCCAGGACCCTTTGGCTGACAGCTAAGGGAAGCCCAGGCGAGGTACTGCTAACCAGTTATCCCAGAGCTACCAAGCAAACAAACTAAAAGCTGAACTCCCTGTGACATGTGCAAGCACAGGGACCTAGTGGAGAGCCACCAAAATCCTACAAGTGGTCCTACCGCCACGCAAGGCAGACCACCGCCAGGCAAATCAAAACAAAAACAAAAAATAAGTCCTGCAAAAGCACGTCTCCAGGTGAACAGAACCGATCGCTATGAGTATATCAGATAGCTGCAAAGTACCCCGTGCCCCAGCCAGCAACGAAACTACCTCCTACCCAAGGGCAAACAGGAGTAAGAACCACCCCAACTGAACCCCAAGGGTGGGCAATCACCGAGCAGCGAGAGAACCACATGGAGGTAGTTGCTCCTGAACGGCTCATGGAAGATAACCCTAAGCTGCAGAGGCAGTACTTACGGGGTACCTAGGGAAGGTAGCCTTAGGTGCATGCAGCCCCAGTACTCTTGTGTTACTCCTGGCTCGCACACCACCAACACAGAGCAACAACACCGCAAAGCAGCACTGTGCAAAGAGTGGAGCCAGAGTCAATCGACCGTCACTGACACAACAGCCTCTTAAACCGGGGAGAGTTGCTGGCATGGAGGTTTGGGACCCTCCGTCCCCTTTCTGGGGAGGGGGGGAGGTTGCACAGATGAATGCGCGGCAGTTGTGGTGACGTCATACTTGTTTCCTTGTTTTTGATTGGGCAGTAGTTTATTTCGGCTCTCCTAATTATTTTGGACAGCAATGAAGAGTACCTCCTTGAAACTTCTTTGGAGATGACCCCTAACCTATACTTCTTCTCATAATCATGTTTTTTGTTGATTTATTTAAGTACAGTATACCCTTAGTAAGCCATGGATTGTTTAACCTTTTAGGTGACTTGTTTAATTATCATTGAATAATGGGTATTCTTATTAATTAAAATACAAATACTTAACAACAGTAATACTGTAACTCAAAATTTCATGGTAGTAATATTGGCTATTAGAACATTAAATAGTGGATGTCTAAAAGATATGTCATTTTTCAGGGAGCGTTAACTGATGCCAGCCTTGTGGTAGGAAATAAGACATTCAGTGTTCACCGGTTAATTATAAGTGCCTTCAGTAACAAACTCCGGGAATTTTTTTCAAAAGAATCTGCAAAAGTTTTTGTAGTTAAAGACATTGACCCAAATATAATATCAATTATATTGGACTTTATATATGGAAATATGGCCATAGTAAAAGAAAGCATGCTCCCAACATTTCTGAAAGCTGCAAGACAGTTAGAAATAGAGCAACTTCAGACTCCAGGACTCCTGAAGCTGGAACAAAATGTTATGGCTCAAAAGAGAAGCCCAGACAGTAATATATCTAGTGATGAAACACAATGCCTTCAAATTCTAGAACAGAATTTGTTACCTATAACTAGCTGCCCAAATAGGAGTATAGAAAGCCCACATGATGTCACTCAGCATGACACAGCAGCACTGGAACTTTGCCTGCCCTCTTCTGTTTCAATCAAAATATTAGGTAAGAATGCCTGCAAAATAACCAGAAAGGAATTTATTAGTGAAATGAAAGGTGATAAAGTTTGTAAAGACAAAAGTGAAGCAAAGGTTGGTAATGAATATTTTAACAAAAGTAATGAGGAGCGAAAGACCCATTGGTGCTGTTGTAAAAAGTCAAGTGAATGGTCACAAACAAAAGAAAAGGGAGCTGACAAGGAGAATGATGATGAAATTGAAAGCTTAAAAATGAAACTTAAAGAATGTGGAACAGTAGTGGTCGCCCAAGGCATAAATAACTTAAAGGATATCCCTGAACGGCTTTTATCAAGTAGTGATATTTCATTAACTCCTGTTAAGTTACCTAACAAAGTTTCTACAACTAAAAGGAAGAGCTGTTTAAGCAAAAAGATCATAACTCCAACATCTCCACAATTACCACTTCCTGATACACATGCATCTAAGATTAATTCAAATCCATCAAAATGTTCATCTACAAAGGTTAGAAGGAATCTTCAAAACAGATTCCATGCTGAAATGTATCAGCAGAAAGAAGTTACAAGTGGATTTTCTTCTAATAACAGAAACTACAATTCTGGTGGCATCATTGGTTCGAAAATAGGACCCTTAATGGCAGGGTTTAAAGGACATAGTAGAAAATATTTAAATGCTCAAATACAGGAGAGTATACTTTGTCCTGCCTTTAGACATTATTTCAATCACACTTCAAAGTCTCAGAATATATGTATGCAAGAATATGAAAGTAACAAAAGAATAGTTTCTGGTCAGTCAAGAGGCAAGCTTAATACTAATAAAATGTTCCAGTTTGAAGGTGGCAATAACAAATTGCTACAGTCTGTTAGCAGAGGTGATATATATTCAGTGCGACAAGACCCAACATCACCAACTAGAAAAGGCAGAGCTTTACACAGTGAAGCAAAAAGTACTCCAGCTGAAAATGCTGATAACCTTCCAGTAAATAAAACCTCTGAACCTACATGTGGAACACCAAAGAATAGTATTTTCTGGAATGGAAAAGAATCTCTTAATTTTGATGACTCTGGTAATATTGTTCAAACTTCAGATACTGCAACACAATTAATACAGGATTCATTTTGTTTGAAAGCTGATGTAGATTTAAATAACCTTCCTAACTTAGAATTTGAAAATACACAATTACATGGAAAAATAATTGTAACTTCATCACAGAATTCATATTTAGAGGTGGAAAGTTTTCAGTCACAGGAATTGCAGAAGTCAGAAAATACCAACAAATTAATATTACCGCAACCACAAGAGCAGCCATCAAGTCCATCCTGTGAACATCAGGCCACAATTAGGACAATGCCCAGTGACACTGCTAATAAGCCAGGCCTCTCAGTTAAACCCAGTGTGAGTACATCTTCTTTAATATTACATAGTCTAATTTTTTTCACTTTTATCTGCCATTTCTGGGGGGAGCCCCGTCGGTTCCCCGGAGCTTACTATGCTGATATACTAATGTCAGACTTTGGCATCAGTCATGTGTATGGAGTTCTTTGGGCCTACCGGGGACCACGAGCCAGAACCTGGCGCCCCTCTAGAGAGGCAAGGGGAGCAATGGCCTATAGGAAACCCCGTGTGGTTGGAAGCATTCTATGTCTGCCATCAACCGGGTCAAGCATCCAGAAAGGTAAGCATCCCAAAACAAGCCCCTGTTCTGGTTAAAATTGCTACCAAAAGCCGAACTAGTGGATAGAACTCCCCAACAGAAAACAAGCAAACTAGTATGACGTCACATGTCACTGCACCGCTGTCTGCGCAGTTCTCCCCTCCCTGGGAAGGGGAAGGGGGAGCCCCAAACCTCTCACGCCGGCGATCCACTCGTCAGTTCTTCGGCTGACGCTAAAGGCTGAGGTCATGTGCTCTGGCTCTGGTGGTTGTTTTAGCACTGTATCTAGCGTGCGGTGACTGTCTTCTTGGTGGTGTGTGAGCCGGGGGTGTTTCTCCAGTACTCGGGCTGCATGCGCCTAGGGTTTCCTTCCCTAGATGCCTTGTAAGTACTGCCCTTGGGGATTGGGGTTCCCTTCCACAAGTCCCTTGAGTTCTGCCCCTGCTTGGCCATTTACTGCTTGATTTTTGGCAGCCCTTTGTGTGCTAGGGTGTTCTGTTTCCCTTGTTCACCTTAGGGTAAGGGTCAGTCTGCACTGGTGGGGCGCAGGGTACTGCACAGTTTGTTTTCACCAATCATATTGGCCGGTTCTGTTCCGCCTGGGCACACTGTCCTCTTGCGGGTTTTCTTTTTTCTTTTTGTTTGACTACCTGGTGGGGGGACCTGCCTTGGTTTTTTCCCCCTTTGTACTGAGTGCACTTCCTTTTCCAGTGGTTCCCCCCTGCTAGGTCCCCGTGAGTGTACACATCCCGGTTCAGTTCTTAGAAAGTTGTTTGGTAGACTTGGGCACCGGTTAGTAGTACAGGGAGCTGGTCGGCCGAGCGGACAGCACGCTGGACATGTGATCCTGTGGTCCCGGGTTCGATCCCAGGCGCCGGCGAGAAACAATAGGCAGAGTTTCTTTCACCCTATGCCCCTGTTACCTAGCACTAAAATAGGTACCTGGGTGTTAGTCAGCTGTCACGGGCTGCTTCCTGGGGGTGGAGGCCTGGTTGAGGACCGGGTCGCGGGGACACTAAAAAGCCCCGAAATCATATCAAGATAACCTCAAGATAACCCTGCCTGGGATTACCTGTGCACGAGTCCTCTTATAGTAAACGCTCAGGGCCCTGGGAATCTCCAAGAGGACGCGCGGGTCTGATGGCTGTGACCCCAGAGTCCCACCCTTGCTTCGAGCGAGTTTGTGGGTTGCTCTGTCGCCTTGTCTCAGGGTGACTCTCACAGTTCTTGTCTCCGTCTGCTGCCTGTGGGGTCGGTGGCACCTTCGGCCTGGAGTCCTTCGAGTTTTGTTGCTTGTTTGTGACTCGGTTACCCAGTCTTATGCTGACTATGCGGGTACAGGTAGCGTGGGCGTTGCAGGTTGAGTTTCGGTGGTGGCAACTCTGTGGTGGTTGCTCCCCGGAAGCCCCGAGGCTGCCCCATTTTAGTTGGCGTGTGGGGGCTTGGGGGAGATGGTTGCTTTGGTTTCCTTCCAAGCCCTCTTGTCTTTCCTCTGTTGTGGTCTGGTCTGGTTCCCTTCCCTTCCTCCCTGCTTCCGGGTTTTTACTGTCTGTGGGTTCGGGGTTGGGGCGGGGTCTCGTTGGTTTTGAGACTCGGGCGGTCTCGGGGAAATCCCCTTCCAGGGTAGCGACGGGGGCATTTGAGCCTGTACCTCCAGCTGTGTTGTAAGAGTCTGCCAGTGGGCTCCCTTCCTTAGTACTTTAACAGCTGCCCCAGTTTTTTCTTGTGAGGCCGGGGCTTTGGGGGGACGGCTCGTCCCCGGGGCTGGGGAGGGGCTGCTTCGGGGAACCTCGGGTCTTGTTGGACCCCACCAGGGTTGATCTCCCTCTGCACGGGGCTTGCATTTCAGCAAAATGGGGGGGTTCTCCTCCCCCCCTCTCCGTACGGGTTGTTGGGCGTCGGCCCCTCCCCGGGCTCGTTTCCTTGTCCCTCGAGTCCGTTGGTTCCGGCCTGTTGGTAGGTGCCCTTTTACGTTTATTCACCCTCTCTTTCTTCGGACTGGTCTTCCCTGTCATATTCCCCTGTTCGTGGGGTTCTGCATGACTTTTGGTCTCAGGTGCGGCTGTGCTTTTGTGTGCCTTCGTGCTTTGTGCTTGCTTCTGTGGTTCTTGAAGGTTCGGGAAGGTTTTTCGCTACTTCCTGTATTATTGTAACGTCTGTCGTCTTTCGATGTGGCTTCCCTCCGTTCCTTTCTAGGGCTTGTTGGTTCTCTTCCGGGCTTCTTCATGGTTCTCGGCCCTGTCTCGTTCTTTTGTTCCTGTATCTTTTCTCCGTGCTCGGTCTCTGCACTGTTAGTTTTTTTCCATTCTCCTTGTCGAGGGTGCTGGTATGGGCTACTTGTAGCCCAATTGGGTTACTGATTTGGTTCCTTGTCTTCATTAAGTACGCCGGCTATGTATGTCGCGGCTTCTTGTTTTTGGCTCCTGTTCCCATGTGCTGGGCTGTTTCTGCTCCTGTGCGCATCCCTCAGGTCACGAACTGTTTGGGCTACATTTCTTGTCAAGTAGTCCTAGTTGGCACCTCCCCGCCGCGCGGGTTGTGCCCGTGCGCTGTGGTAGTTTGTTTTGGTCTGGGTGGTATGTGCTAGAGCTGGTGTTTTCCGTCCTCTTCTCTCGGGTGCTTCACCTCTAACTCTTCTCCGTTCTCCAGTCTGTGCCCCGTGGCTACTGGGGTGTTCTGGCTTGCAGCTATGGGGAGGGCGCCGGAGTTTTCCCCGTGTTATGGGTGTTATGGGCACCTTCGCCTCTTCCCTCCCATTCTGCATGTGAGGCTCTGGCCTTCCTCCTCTGGCGGTGCTCCCGGAATCTTCTTGGATACGTTGTGTCGTGACATGTTCGTGTCTACGTTCTGCAGATGAGTTTATGCGGTCTGGTGTCTCTTTTGGCCAGGCATTGGTTCTTGGTCTTTGGGGTGCAAATGTGAAACCGGCAGAGCACAAGTGCCTGCTGGGGGCCTATTGGCCCATGTGGGGCGGCTCCTCAGTGTACCCATCCAGTCCCACTTGTATGCATGTCCAACCCATGCTTGAGTCAGTCCCAAGGCTCCACCTCCACCAGGTTACGAGGTACAATGATGGTGGTGACTGTTATGAGGTACATGTTACTGTGTCAGGATGTTATGAGGTGACATTTTGATGCGGTTTTGTTACTGAGGATGCGTGTTTGCGTGTTTTCCTCCTGGGGACCCTTCCTAATTTTGTTTAACTTTTGCCCCGAGGGGCGAGTTTATTGGGCAAAATTGTTGTATTTTCTTACGTGCTGCTGTGGCGGTGTGTCCACTAGTCCTGTGAGTGGGAATACCGCCATAGTGGCGTGTTCAACACTCCCCAATGGGAGGGGAACCCGCTGGGTTGTTCATCCTGTCACTTCTACCAGACCAAGTGCCGGACCAACCGGGCTGTGATGGGTATGTGGGCCTGAGGGCCGCTCCAAGCAACAGTCTGGTGGACCAAACTCTCACAAGCCAAGTCTGGAATCGGGCCGGGCTTGGGGAGTAGAAGAACTCCCAGAACCCCATCAAGCAGGTACCCAAACGCAGCTGGGACTTGCTTCTCTGTCTCCAGTGACCAGCTCCTCAGACAAGGTGATTAACGTCTGTCAACCCTTGGAATCTTACCCAGTTTGTCTGTACTATTTGTTATGTTGATCTTCTCTGGGTCACTCATGCCTTGCAGTGCCTGGCTTAGTCCTTCCAGGTGCGTTGGGTTCTCTCTATTCCCCTGGTTGTCTTCACCTCGTTGTGCGTGCTGGGATTGAGCTTTGGCTCTTTAGTCCTGCCCCTCTGTCACTCACCTGCCATTTACAGGGCCTCAGTGCTTGTTGTGCTTCCCTTGTTGTGTTTGTGGGGGTTGCGCTCTGGGTTTTTGGTGTCTCCTGTCGTTCGGCTTGGGTCCAGCTTCCTGAGCTTACTGAGCTCTGTTGTATATACAAATGACTCTTGTGTGTGGGATCTGCCTCCACCACATCCCTTCCTCATGCATTCCATTTGTCTCCTAATCCGCTGCTGGAATCCTTCTGTCTTTTCTTTTGCTCATTGGGCATCCATTCCGCCTGTGTCCTTGGTATGTGTGCCCCTTGTGTTTGTTGCTCTGTCTACACTCTCATTTCCTCTGTGGATCTTGCTTGTGGTGTTGTTGTCCCCTCTGGTTCTTCTCTCTCCGAATGTCATACGGTTTCCTTCCCGTTGTCTCCTCTTTACTCATAGCCCTCAGTTCGGGTGCGGGTCTGGCGAATGTCATACGGTTTCCTTCCTGTTGTCTCCTTTTTACTCATAGCCCTCAGTTCGGGTGCGGGTCTGGTGGCGCCCCTTGTACTTTTTTCAGGTTGGTCTTGTGTTGGGCCTGACCAATGACCGTGTGTTGTTGGCATGCTTTTCGTTCTCGTTTGCTGCCCGCCTTTTGGCTCTCCTTTGCCAGGTTTGGATTCTGATTCCTGGCTTTCCCTGTCTGTTGGCTTTTTCCGCGTTTCGCGGTGTCCCTTCTTTCGTGTCTCAGTCGGAACCGTGGTCTCGGACCTCCTGGCGTGCTCGCTGGCGTTTGGTTGTTTTTACTGTCAGGCAGACGCTCAATCTCTTCCTTTGTTGATTCAGGCTTCTAGCTCTGCCTGTTCGGTGGTCGCACCCGAGATCTTCCAGCGGCTCCGCCTCTTCTACGGGTCGTTTTTGTCCGTGGCGGAGCTGGTTCGGCTCTACCTGAGGTCCCGCCTTCTGTTGGTGATCAGGTGGCTTCGTTGATGGTGCCCCACCTGCGTGCTTCTTCTTAGCGGCAGTGTGGGGTATTTTGGTGGTCCTTCCTTTTTCCTTCTCTCCCTTCTTAG